ATAGATGGATTTCCTCTTTTTTCTTCACATACTTTTTTCTTACAATATTTTAAACTTTATTATTTTATTGAGATATAATTGAGGTATATATAAAATATTGTATGTTTACCATGTACAGTGTGTTGATTTGATACACATGTGCCGTGTGCTAAGTCACTTCAGTTGTGTCTGATGCTTTGTGACCCTATGGACTGTAGCCTGCCAGGCTCCTCTGTCCATAGCCTGCCAGGCTCCTCTGTCCAGCCTAGAATACTGGAGTAGGTTGCCAGATCCTCCTCCAGGGGTCTTCTCCACCCAGGCATCAAACCTGCGCCACCTGCAGCTCTTGCACCTCCTGCATTGCAGGCAGATTCTTTACCGCTGAGTCACCAGGGAATCCCTGAGTCACATTTATATTGCGATGTAACTGCCACTGTAGCATTACTGACATCTCTATCCTCATCCCGTAATCATAATTTCTTTTTTGTGTGTTAGGAAAATTAAGATCGTTTTTGTCTTTTCTGCTGTCCCTCTTTCTGTCTTTTGAGGACTGTGTGACCTCAGGGGAAACAGGTCTGATGGTGCCCGAGACCCTGTTCATTACAGTCCTCACCTCAGGAGCCCACAGTGTGCTCTGGGCGGCAGTGTGTTGTACCTGGGTTTTTTTGCTCAGAGGTGGGGGTTGGTGCTGCCAGGTCAGATAAGCAGAGGTTGAACGGAGCTGGGATTGGAGGGCTCTGCTTCCAGTGCCAGGAGCACTTCCCAGGGCCAGATCTGGCACTGTGCTACACCCTGGGGATGAGGAGGAGGGAGCAATCTTGGCCTAGACCACGAGGGTTTGCTTGTGCCCCCGGGCTCTGCCTGCCTGTGCTGCTGGGACATCTGGAAGCACAGTTTGAAATCCTCCCATAAGGATGGGCCCTTGGGTCCTGCAGGCACACCACTGGTGGTTTACTCTCAAACCCCTGTAGTACTTGCCTTGCTGCCTAGGACAGCATCTCACTCACCCCTGCTCCAACCACACCTTACCTTCGTGAAGCCTCCCTTGGTCCAGTCTACCTCCACGCATGTGACCAGACTGCACTTTCTGCTGGTGACACGCTCACCTTTCCACTTTTGAGCCTTCTGTGCATCCTTAGAGCCCGTCCAGAAGTCCTCTGACTGATCATGTAGGACCCGCACCTTCAATAGTGGGATTCAATAACCCTCGCTGTCCATGAGCACCTCTCGGTGGGGGTGCCCAGAGCTCTCCTCATACTAAGTGCAAGCTCATCTATCCATCACTAGCTGGACAGGGACTATGGCAGTCAGAGACAAGAGCTTTTGAGGGGCATGAAGAGCCATGTGCCAGGGTTGTCAAAAGCTCTGAGGTTACGCCCTGTTTTCCAGTAGTCAAGAAAAAATATATATGTTTGACCAGTTCCTAAAAGTTTAACACAGAAGGTTTCTTATGTGCACCAGCACAGAGAAAGAAAATGAGTTGAGTTATATGGGCCCATGCAGCCTCCAGGGTGACCAGAGTCTGCTGGCCATAGAGGCTGTGATGCCCTGTGTCCTGGACATTGCTGGTATTGTCGCCTGTCAGGTCCTTGACATAGTTTTGGTTACTTGTGTTTCACAGGGACTTTTCATCCCCTTCCCATTTTCAGACTCAGATTTTAGCACAGGACCCCTTTTCAAACAAAGTTTATCTCCAGCCCTAATGGTGAAAACAGATGAAGTGGTATTAGCACATAATTATTACCAGAATTACTTTTATATCATTTACATATAAAATCAATTTGCCTGTGGGAAAGAACCTAAAACTCCCACAATGAGTATTAAGATTTTGAATTTTGATAATGATGACAGTGGTACAGTTCCATTTATCTCAGTATTCTATTTTGGTTGAACCATATTCAGAAATCACTGAGTCACAAAGGTAAGCTGTTGCTAATGGTAACAGATTTTTATCTTGTTTTTACCCACTTGCCTTGTGATCTCTAGAGTCTCTTCAGTTAAATTGATTCAAATCTGTGAAGAAGGAGCTGTGTATATGTTTTTCATCCAAAATTAATCACTAACAGTTGCCGGCAGTCTTTATTATAACTATAAAAATTAGACAAGATAACACCCAAGCTTAAAATGAGTAAAGCTATGCCAGCATCGCACTGTGCTTTCTGCCTTTGTTGCTACAGAGGTGGGAAGAGATGTCAAGGCAGATGCAGGTTCTATGCTGGAATTGTAGGATCAAATGTGAATTGTTTTAATAGAGTAGTACTGCCAACCTGAAATCTTACTGGGTGACTCATTTCCAAGAGTTCTATATGCATACAATATTCATGGCAAGAGGAGTCTTAAGCTAAACTTTCCCCAGTAAAGTAGTGAATCAGGCCACGTTAATTAATTAATACATTGAGTGTCTGAAGAGTTAAGATATTGAAAACAATTGTTTGAGTGTGTTTGGACTTTTATTAGTATTTTGAAACACAAGGAAAAGAAACTTGGAATCAAACACTTGTAGAAGCCTGAAGCACCTCCACAGAATCTTGGAGTTCCAGAGACCCTAATTTAAAAAGCAGGGTAAAATCCAGGGTGAATTTATGAAAGCCCACATGCTCAGCTGTTTGGCATCAGTCACTGTTGGTGTCTCATGAGGACACTTGGGTACAGGCTGCTGTCAAACAAAGAATATTTACATCTTGACCCTTTCTCCTTCTCTCTCCCTGAATGTGTTTACAACTGAGGGAGTGGATATGACCTTCTTCATCTCAGAGGATTATCATTTTATCATAGCTTAGTCTTCTTCCTGTAAGCATCATCACATTTTTTATCTTCAAACCAAAGCTTACTTGTACAGTTTTTCCTGAAGTTTCTGGTGTTGTTTTTTACTTAAAGATTTTAAAAATAATGAGTCCTTGATTTTAAAAATAATGAGTCCTTAATCAAATCTTGTTGATCAAATTAATCAAATCCAGCTTGTTGTTCCTTCTGTTCATTACTCTGAATCCACTTTACTCTTCAGAGACCCCTCATATCTTGCTGTAATTTGGACCCCCAACCCTTTTACTGGACCCTCTACACAGTTCATCCTGAAAATCCCTTTTCTGGATCTTTAAGTTTAGTCTGAAAATTTGTTTCTTCTTCTTTAGTGTTCACCCTCATTTTTCTGGAGCTGATGATCAAGTCCATGGCCAAGAAAATATACATAAGAAACACCTGAATGTTCTTGAAAACAGCTTTTTTTGCCTTCATACTTTAGGGGTTTCCTTCAGCTCCAAAATTTGTGCATGTGATTTCTCTCCCTCCCACTCCCCTGATATTTCCTCCACTTCTGTTGAGTGAACTTCCCCAGCCTTTACTTTGAGACCTTCATCCCTTTTGTCCTATATTTCATCTCAGTGATTCTTATCAGCCAAACCTCCCACTCATTTTTAAAGATGTATTTCATAGGTCATATTTTAACTTCCATATTGCCCTCTGTTTTTCTAAATGCAGTATCCATTTGAATTTTTATGAGGGTATTACTTTTTTTAAGAGGTGATTTTTCATTCCTTTCATTGACAGTTTCTTCTTGGATCTTTCTTGTCTCTATCCTTCACTGTGTCTCTCACAATGAAGCCTGTCCTCAGACATCTCGTGATAGTGACTTTCCCCTTTAGAGAATGCTGGAGACAGAAAAGACTGCAGAGGCTCTGGAGACATGGGCAGCCCATAGCAGAGGTCCTCCAGTTACTAAAAGGAAGGGAATTTAACTCATGGTGCTGGTACCATGACTGGCTGCCTGCATTTTCTTAAGGCCGTTTACTTTTTATTCACCCATAGGGCAGTATTTTAAGGATATGTTTTAATCAGGTTATGGTAAGATGCAGACACAGAAATGATGAAGGAAGGAAGTTTATTAGATACTCACAATTCCCTAGAAACCAGAGGCTTGCTAACCACACAGGGAAGCACCAGGGTCAATCAGAAGGCAGAGGGCTTGGGGAGAAAACGTGCTTTAAAAGCCTTTATTGTGGTTTCCACAGAATGGAAGTGGTGAGACAGGGTAAGCATGGCTAGAACTTGGAATGCTTTCAGCAGGCTCTGGTGCATATGGCTTGCTGCTCTTTGTCTGGTGTCTACCCCTGGGGTGATTAGGGTGGGTGGATGGTGGCTGGGAGATAAGAACTCCATAAAGGAGCTAGTTGGGGTGTGGGCTCTGGATTAGTTGGTTTTCACCTGATTGAGTTGTTTGCTGTCTCCAGGAATTGGTTAATCTGGGGCAGTGGGGTGATGGGGACAGTCCCTCCAGGGTCAGCAAGGCCCCAGATGTCAAAGTGTCAGAACACAGAAAGTGAAAGACCTGGATATTAAGGGCTCTTGGTCTTAATTATTCTTTCCTTCCTGTTTTGTGTGCTTCTTTTAACCGAGTTGGTCACTGCTGTCTGGAGGAGGTTCTGAACATGGCTAGGGGTGGGGTGGGGTGCATTTATCTAAACTTGAACCTGATTCTGTTCTCTCCACCTGTCATCACCAGTCCTAGATTCGGGTACCCCTAAAGGCTGCCCAGCTCCCCTGAGTATCTGCAGCCTCAGTCACTCAAGATGAATTTATCAAGCACCATCTGAGCTTTGGACCCATTCATGGGGCTGACACTAGAGCCCTGAATACAGTGGGTCCAAATTCCAGTCTTCTGGACTGATAGAGAGGCACTTTGCTTCCCCCAACTCTGTCTCCTGCAGATAGATTGAATTGACTCATCTGTAATGTCCTCCTAAGTTGTCTTCGGGTTTCATTTTTGCTAAGAGCTTTGTTTAACATGCATATGGAAAAAATCAGCATCCCTATGAAATGAAGGAAGGCATTGGCCCCATCCCCCTATCCTCTGGGAAGACCTACCAGGTCAGCCCCACGTGGGGCTCTCACACTGCTACCAGCTGCCCCACCTGAAAGCAACAGCCCTTCTCAGAGCTGCTCAGACTGCGGGAACAACCACCCCAAGGGCACGGGGAACCCACTGCCTGGCCAGCTTGGCTTACGGATCCTTCTCATCTTTCTAGCGCTGATGAACGGTTTGATGCTACGTTCCACACCAATGTGTTAGTGAATTCCTCCGGGCACTGCCAGTACCTCCCTCCAGGTAAGCACCACTCCCTTGGTCCCCCACATTTAGACAGTGAGGAGGAGGTTGGGGTGCCAGTGGAGCCCCCAGGGGCAGCAGCTGGCTCTGTGCTCTGGGCATCCTTAGCTACCACACATGCCTGTTGCTCCTGCCTTCTTCTCCTCCATGCCCCCGTGTATTCCCTGAATGTGGCAATGCCATCTTCCTGTTTTTTGTCTTGGGATCATGGCTCAAGCTGTCTTTGCCAACACATGACCTCTGTCCTTATTGTCTGTCTTGTATTCTTTAAATTTCTTACACAACTAAAACAAGTCTCCCTTGTTAGGTCATTCCCATCCTCCTTACAATCTACAAGCCAGTCCCTCGGCCATTTCTTCCCTCGGAACCCCAATTTTCCTTCCCACTACACTGGATACCTGGGCAGGTGTTGCCCTCCAGATGTTGACCTTGCTGGACTGGCTTCTTGAGTGTGCACAGTAAAGCCCAGCGCATCTCACTGGTTAGAGATGAGATCCGACGATTTCTTCCTGAAAGCATGTCTCTCCTTCTCAGGCAGCTGATGGATAACTGCTTCCTTGGATTGAATCTCCTCTCACCAGCCCTTCATTCCTATCAGTTTGCAGGGCCCTGGGCCATTCATGAGAAGCCATGTGGTGGGAGTTTTGGGCTTCATCGCCTTGAGATACTAACAGATTTTTTAAAAACCTTCTGGCTGGTTTTTCACATGTTCTTTCCCAGAGTTACTTCCTCTACTGCAACTGTTTGTTTAACTTCCTGCTCCCAGGCAGCCTGCAGCCACCTCCCACCACATCACCAGCCCACATACCACACACACATACTGCATAACACACACCCCCCACATGCATACACATTACCCACCATACACATACATACACACACCACACAAATAGACACATCACACAAAAGCACACCACACACTACACACTCTGCACATCGCACGCACGCATGCGTGTGCGCGCGCACACACAGCGCTCACAGTAGAGCTGGCTTTGCCGGCTGGGTGGTTGTTTTTGTGCTCTTCCGGGTTAACAGAGGGTAAGTGCCCCAAAGGAAGCATCTGTGTTTATTCCTATTAGAACCACCACTCATCAGCCAGGGGCCTGGCCCACGTGGAGGTAAACAAATGCGTGAGGGACTGAACCTGTCACAGGCCAACATCATCCACTGTTGTCTGCGGAGATGGAAGGACTTCAGACTTTCAGGATTTCGGTCTTACAGCTTGTGCTTCCTCGCTGCTTCCTCAACCCCTCCTCGCCTCCCCCAGGCCTTGCAAACCTTCTTCCTAACACAGAGCTCAAAGAGGGTCTTCCATCACTGGTACACTCTTTTACAGCAGGCCTAGAAGTTGCATCTTTTATCATGAGGGCTATTTTGGAAAATGATCTCCAGCAGTCATCCATGTAGAAGAATATGGGGCTGTGGGTTGTATTGAAGGTTGGGGCCGTTTTCAGCCACAGGAGCAGTACTCCTGGCCCATGAGTCCTCTGTCCGCCAGCCCGTCTGGGCCCCGTACCTGTGTCCCGGCCTCCGCGGTCCCTGGAGTCCGTCAGGAGGGCACACTGAGCTTTGACTGTCGGAGTCTCCCCTACCCTGGCTGGAGAGTGTGGGGCAGTGTGGTTCAGGGCAGCAAGCCTGTTCCTGGGGTCGCATAGACCTGTCTGGGAAGCTGCTCTGCTCTAGCAACTGAACAAGCAAAAGGTGTTTCAGGTGCAAGCTTTGAAATAGACTTGGTTATCAAATGACTTTTTTTCCCATCACATTTTTATTTTTTAACAACATTATTGAGGTATTACAAATTACATTATTGTTTTGTATTATAAATTACATATCATCCAACTGACCCATTTAAGTACGTGATTCAATGATATTTAGTAAATTCACAGAGGTGTAGGACCACGACTGCAATCTAGTTCTAGAACATTTCCCATCACCCCCGTGAAGGTCCCTTTTGCCTGTTTGCAGTTAATCCCTACCCTCACTGCCAGCCGCCGGCAACCACTGACCTGCTTTCTGTCTCTAAAGAATCTCTTTTTCTGGTTATTTCATAGAAATGGAATATTACAGTTACAGAGTTCATTTTCCACCAGCAGTGACGGTTTCAGGGGATCCAGCCCAATAATGAGAGGGCAGTGTCTGTAATGACTTCCAGATTCCTGCACACATTGGCTGTGATGCTGCAAATCCCATTTAAAGAGACTTGAGGAGACAGGAAATTTATTATCCTTTCACAGTTTGGTTGTGGGTGAGAGGGTCCCTGAGTCCCTTCCTCCATTCACTTTTTTAAATTTGGTAGCAGATTTATAGAGCACCTGCCCTGTCCCTGAGAACACTGGGACCCTTAGCTGTTTGTGCCATCACTGCCTTCTGGTCCTTCTCTGGGCAGCAGGGAGCACTTGGGCATAAATGGGCATAAAAGCCCACTGGAGTGGGCTTATCTCAGTAATGTGCTGGGAAGCTCACTGCCAACTTGTCCTGTCCTTCTTTTCAGTGGAAACTCTAATTTTTGTCCAAACACTACCTCCTCAACTAAAACCTATTAGTTTTTGTTCTGAATCTAGAATTCAAGCCAGTTAAAATTATCTTCCACATATATTTCTAGATAAACCAAATAGTTCGTCAATTTTTAACATAAAGAAAATGCTCCTTCCACTCCTCACCAAACACACACACACACACCCCTTTCAGAGTCTGTTTCTACGCTCTTCATTATTTTTATCAGCTTGTGTTAGATTGTTTAACATTCTTTATATGTCTCTTACTGTTTAGAATTTGGAGATGCACGTGCATGGCATGAGAAAGTTTACAGAACATTTAATTTTTTGCACAGAAATCTCTCAGAATAGAAAATGTCAGTGTAGTCTTTGAAATGTAAAAGACAGTAAAGCCTCAGCTCAACTTCTTTTCTAGAGATTTTTCCAAAAAGACCCAGCTTGTTCTGGACAGGTCTAGCTACAGTTTGGGTGCGCAGAATGGACTGAAGCCTCTTTGGTCATACCCAGATGAGAGACCCTGGTATCCACACCTCCTCCTCCTCCTCCTCTTAAAGGGAGCACAAATGGTCCAGGGGATATGCACAGAGCATTGATCCTGAGACATGCAGAGTATCCATAATGATGCATCATTTAACTTGCCAACCTTTGATCAGGCTAGCAAGAGTTTCACTCCATGAAGAGCAGGCTGTGTGTATTATGAACAGTGTATGAGATGGAGACCAAGGAATTGCTGTGCATTTTTTTTCCCAGCATTATCGAGGTGTAGTTGACAAATGAAATTGTAATATATATATCATATATACATTCACACATATATACACACACACACATACATATATGTATGGATACATATATACATATGTGTGTATATATGTATATATATATATCACATATATATGTATTATATATATGGGTTCAATCCTTGGGTTGGGAAGATCCCTTGGAGGAGGGCATGGGAACCTACTCCAGAATCCCATGGACAGGAATCCCTGGCAGGCTACAATCTATAGAGTTGCAAAGAGTTGGACACGACTGAAGTGACTTAGCATGAATGCATGTATATCTGTGTGTGTGTGTGTGTGTGTATGATATGTACACACACACACACATACACACCCGTATGCATACATGTTGTGAAACCATTTATTTCCACTATCAGATTAATCAACATACCCATCACCTCACATAGTTAATTTCAGGCATACTTGAAATATTAACTGTAGTCATGGTGCTATATATTAGATACTCACCGTGAATCCTCCTCTTACAACTGAAAGTTTGTACCCTTTGATCAACTTCTGCCCCATTTCTGCCACCCTCCAGCCCTTGGCAACCACTATTCTGCTCTCTGTTTCTGAGTTCAAATTTACTTTTTTCAAATTTTTCATGTAAATGATATTTACAGGATGTGTCTTTCTGTGTCTGACTTATTTCACTTAGCATAAGGTCCTCCAGGCTCATCCATGTTGTTGCAAATGGCAAGATTTTCATCTTTTTAAAGGCTGAATAATAATAATAAAGAGTATATTATATTGCATATAATCCATATAAATTTAAGTATAGATACATATATATTTTATTTTATCTATTTATCCATCAACAAACACTTACGTTGTTTTCTATGTCTTGACTGTTGTGAGTAATGCTGCAGTGAATATGGGGTGCAGATAGCTCTTTAAGATACTGGTTTTGTTTCCTTTGGATGTATATGCAGGAGTGGGATTACAAGGTCATATTTAGTTCTATTTATAACTTTTTGAGGAGCCTCTGTACTGTTTCCATAGTGGCTGGGCCAATTTGCATTTCCACCAACAGTGCAAGACAGCTGTGTATCTAACGCAGGTCTTGGTCTGTCTTATTGCCCATGTAGGCATCTTCAAGAGCTCCTGCTACATTGACGTGCGCTGGTTCCCCTTTGATGTGCAGCAGTGCAAACTGAAGTTTGGGTCCTGGTCTTATGGAGGGTGGTCCTTGGATCTGCAAATGCAGGAGGCAGACATCAGTGGCTATATCCCAAATGGAGAATGGGACCTTGTTGGTAAGCCCAGCAAAGATGCAATACTGGCAACCTAGAAGGAAGCTGCTTTATTACTGTGCTGGCTTAAAAAGTTTGGGATTTTCCACTCCGCTTTTCAGCATGAGCATTTATTGAACACTGCAGCATTCTCCATGATTTACTGAGAGCTCTAGGATTAGACACACACACAAAAAAACAATTGGAAAATTCAATGCTTTCCATGAGGAACTTGCAGTTATGGTAAGGTCAGTGCAAGTATGGGCATCTGTATATCACTCAGATCTGTTTAATCCCTAAAATCAGGTGGGACAGCAAATTGCAGTTGATGAGAACCTGTATTTAATGATTTAAATATAAAAACAATAATTATGTTTATAATGGTATTGAGTTTACAGTGTATTGGAGAAGGCAGTGGCACCCCACTCCGGTACTTTTGCCTGGAAAAATCTTATGGATGGAGGAGCCTGGTGGGCTGCAGTCCATGGGGTCGCTAAGAGTTAGACATGACTGAGCGACTTCACTTTCACTTTTCACTTTCATGCATTGGAGAAGGAAATGGCAACCCACTCCAGTGTTCTTGCCTGGAGAATCCCAGGGACGGGGGAGCCTGGTGGGCTGCTGTCTATGGGGTTGCATAGAGTCGGACACGACTGAAGCAACTTCACAGTTACAGTGTGTTATTTATAATCATGGTGTCTTAGTCCATTCCGGCTATTATAACAGAATGCCATAGACCAGGTGGCTTATAAACAACAGATGTTTATTTCTCATAGTTGGGAGAGTAAGAGTTCAAGATCAGTGGGTTGGCAGACTCAGTGTCTGGTGAGGACCTGCTTCCTGGTTCATAGACCACTGTCTTCAGGCTGTGTCCTCACATGGCAAAAGGGACAGGAGATCTCTCTAGGGTTCCTTTTTTAAGAGCACTAATCCCATTCTTGAGGCTCCCTCTATAACTTAATCACCACCTAAAGCCCTCACCTCCAAACAACCATCACTATGGAGGTTAGGATTTCAGCATGTGAACTTTGGGGGGACACATTCAGTCAGTAGCATGTGTAATTCAAATACATAAAAAAATCTGCCAGCTCAGCAGTGAAGCTATGTTGAGAGGGCCACTTTGACACGGTTGCAGAAATAGACATGTCTAACACTGTGAAAGCCAGAAGTACTGCCCAAGGACATATTAAACCCATAGACACCCCAAAACCTACTATTGGACACTGCACCACCCTTCAGAGAGATGAAATCCAGCTCCATCAACCAGAACACAGGCACAAGCACCCCCAACCAGGTAAACACAGGACACTAATCCAACCCCATCTATGGGAGCAGACTCCACAACCAAGAAGAACTATGACCTTGAGAACTTTATTTTTCTTATAAATCACACTGTTTATTCCCCCTGCCTATTTCTACCTTCACATTAGCCTTTTGTGGTACTGTGGTTTTCCACACCTGGAAAAGAAGTGTGCTTTTCCTCTTTGTTATTCTCATTTAAAAAAAAATCATTTTAAGATTTTTATTCTTTTTTACCTTTTTTTCTTTTAGTGATGTTTCTGATTTTGTTTTTTATATATTCAACTGCATTTCTTTATAGTTCTTTACCAGCTGTAGCTATTCCTGAATGTACATAAATCTTTTTCACATACAACCATTTATCTTTGCTTTTCTATTTTTTCTCTTCTCTCTCTTTTTAACCCTCTTTTCCACCCCTTCCTTTTGTCTTTTCTCTCCCTTCTCTTTTTTTTATTTTTCTCTTTTTCTCTTTTCTGTTTTGTCCTACACACTTTCTTTTTTCACCAAGTAAGTTAAATTGTTGAGTTCTCTTTGCTATATTCTTCAGTTGGTACTCTGCTCAGGCCCAGTTTTCCAGATTGAGCATTAGTTAGCTCTGCTTTTAATTGGTCAATATCACTTTTGTTTTCCCCTGCTCACCAAGTCAATCTCCTGTACTCTTCTTTAGAATACTTCGGTTATAACTATGTGTGTGGTAGTGTGTGTATATGTTCCAATATTTCTGTAATTACCTGCCTGATCTGCTTGGTCTCCTCCCACTAGAACAGGCACAAGTCACCCCTAACAAGAAGTCAACACAAATTACTCAACCAGCTTTTCCCTCAAAGGGCAAAAACCAAAAGGAAGAAGGAATACAACCCTAAAGCCTGAGAAAAGGAGACCTCAAGTGGAGCAAGTTAGAACAAAAAAATGAAAAGACAGAAAAATACAGCACAAATGAAAGAACAAGGTAGAAACTCACAAGGCCAAATCAGTGAAGAAGAAATAAGCAGTCCGCCTGAAAGAGAATTCAGAATAAGGATAGTAAGGATGCTCCAAAGACTTGAAAATGGAATGGAGAAAATGCAAGATACAATTAACACAGTTAATACAATCACCAAAGACATAGAAGAAATTAAGAATAAGCAAATAGAGATGAATAACACAATTACTGAAATTAAAAATACTCCAGAAGGAACCACTAGCAGAATAACTAAGGCAGAAGAATGAATAAGTGAGCTGGAAGATAGAATGGTGGAAATAACTGCTGAAGAGCAGAATAAAGGAAAAAGAATTAAAGGAATTGAGGATAGCCTCAGAGACCTTTGGGAAAATATTAAATGCACCAACATTTGAGTTATAGGGGTCCCAGAGGAAGAAGAAGAAGAAAAGAAAGGCACTGAGAACATTTTTGAAGAAATTATAGTCCATCCTAAAGGAGATCAGTCCTGGGTGTTCATTGGAAGGACTAATGTTGAAGCTGAAACTCCAGTACTTTGGCCACCTGATTGTGAAGAGCTGACTCATTTGAAAAGACCCTGATGCTGGGAAAGATTGAGGGCAGGAGGAGAAGGGGACAACAGAGGATGAGATGGTTGGATGGCATCACCGACTTGATGGACATGGGTTTGGGTGGACTCCGGGAGTTGGTGATGGACAGGGAGGCCTGGTGTGCTGTGGTTCATAGGGTCGCAAAGAGTCAGATACGACTGAGTGACTGAACTGAACTGAACTGATAGTTGAAAACTTCCCCACCATGGAAAAGAAAATAGTCAAGTCGAACAAGTGCAGAGAGTCCCTTATAGGATAAACCCAAAAAGAAGCACATCAAGACACATATTAATCAAGCTACCAGAGATTAAGCACAAAGAATATTAAAAGCAGCAAGGGAAAGGCAATAATTAACACACAAGGGAAAACCCATACGATTAACAGTGGATCTTTCAGCAGAAACTCTGCAGACCAGAAGGGAATGGAAGGATATATTTAAAGTACTGAAGGAACAAAAATCTACAGTCAATATTACTATACCTGACAAAAATCTCATTCAAAATTGATGAATAAATCAAAAGCTTCACAGACAAGCAAAAGTTAAGAGAATTTAGCACCACCAAACCAGCCTTACAACAAATACTAAAAGGACTTACATAGCCAGTAAACACAAGAGAAAGGAAAAAACTACAAAAACAAACCTCAAATGATTAGGATAGTTACCAATAAGAATATGCTGTTTAGTCACTCAGTTGCATCTGATTCTTTGTGATTCCATGGACTACAGTCTGCCAGCCTCCTCTGTCCATGGAATTTCCAAGGCAAGAATCCTGGAGTGGGTTGCCATTTCTTTCTCCACAATAGGAATAGATATATCAGTAATTACCTTAAATGTAAATGGATTAAATGCACCAGCCAAAAGATACAGACTGACTGAATGGATACAAAAGCAAGACCCATATATATACTGCCTACAAGAGACCCACTTCAGACCTTGAGACACATACAGACTGAAAGTAAAAGGATGGAAAAAGATATTCCATGCAAATAGAAATCAGAAGAAAGCCAGAGTGGCAATCGTTATTTCAGACAAAATAGGCTTTAAAATAAAGAATATTATGAGATAAAGGATACTACATAATGATCAAGGGATCAATCCAAGAAGACATTGCAATTGTAAATATTTATGCACCCAACATAGGAGCACCTCAGTACATAAGGCAAACACTAACAGGTATAAGGGGAAATCGAGAGTAACACAATACTAGTAGGGGACTTTAACACCCTCTCTTATACCAATGGACAGATCATCAAAAGGGAATCAATAAGGAAACACAAACCTTAAGTGAAACATTAGACCAAATGGACCTAATTGATATCTTCAGGGCTTTCCATCAAAATAAAGAAAGAATACACTTTCTTCTCAAGTGCACATGGACCATTCTCCAGGATAGACCACATCTTGTGCTGCAAATCAAGCCTCAGTAAATTTAAGAAAATTGAAACCATATAAAGCATTTTTTTTTGACAACAATGCTATGAGACTAGATATCAACTGCAGGAAAAAAAAACTGCAAAAAAAACACAAACTCATGGAGATTAAATAATACATTACCAAATAACAAAGAGGTTACTGAAGAAAGAAGAAGGGAAATCAAAAGATTCCTAGAAACTAATGACAATGAAAACACGATGGGATTTAGCAAAAGCAGTTCTAAGAGGGAAGTTTATAGCAATACAGTCCTACAAGTCCAAATAAGAAAAGCATCAAACAGACAACCTAACTCTACATCTAAAGCAGCTGGAAAAAGAAGAACAAAAAAAACCCCAAAGTCAATGGAAGGAAAGAAATCATAAAGATCAGAGCAGAAATAAATGACAAAGAAATGTAGGAAACGTAACAAAGATTAATAAAACTAAAAGCTGGTTCTTTGAGAAGATAAATAAAATTAACAGACCACTAGCCAGACTCGTGAAGAAACAAAGGGAGAAAAATAAAATTAGAAATGGAAAAGAAGAGTTTACAACAGATAACACAGAAATACAAAGGATCATAAGAGAATATTATGAGCAACTACACATGCTAATAAAATGGACAAGATAGAGGAAATGGACAGATTCTTAGAAACGCTCAACTTCCCAAGACTGAACCAAGAAGAAATAGATATTATGAAGAAGCCAATTAAAAATGCTGAAATCAAAACTGTGATCAAAAATCTCCCCAAAAAACTAAAGCCCAAGGCAAGATGGCTTGATAGGAAAATTCTGTCAAACATTCAGAGAAGAGCTAATGACTATTTATCTGAAACTCTTCCAAAAAATTACAGAGGAAGGAACATTTCCAAACTCATTCTACGAGGCCACAATCACCCCAATACCAAAACCAGACAAAGACAACACAAAAAAAGAAAATTACAGACCAGTATTACTGATGAACATAGATGCAAAAATCCTCAACAAAGCTTTAGCAAACAGAATTCAACAACACATTAAAAAGCTGATGCACCATGATCAAGTCGGTTTATTTCAGGGATGCAAGGATTCTTCAATATACAGAAATCAATCAATGTTATATACCGTATTAACAAGTTGAAAGATAAAAAACCATATGATCATTCAATAGATGCATAAAAAGCCTTCAGTAATATTCAGCATCCATTTATGATTAAAAAGCACTTCAAAAAAATGGACATAGAAGGAACCTACCTCAACATAGTAAAGGCCATATATGATAAGCCCACAACAAACACTGTTCTCAGTGGTGAAAAACTAAAAGCATTCCCTCTAAGATCAGGAACAAGACAAGGGTGTCCACTCTCACCACTGTTATTCAACATAGTTTTGGAAGTCCTCGCTATGAGAATCAGAGAAGAAAAAGAATAAATAAAAAGAATCCAGATTGGAAAAGAAGAAGTAAAACTCTCACTGTTTGCAGATGGCATGATACTGTACATAGAAAACCCTAAAGAAACTATCAGAATATTACTAGAGTTAATCAGTGAATTCAGCAAAGTCATGAGATGCAAGGTCAATACACAGAAATCACTTAACATTCTGTATACTAACAATGAAAAATCCAAAAGAAAAATTAAGGAATCAATCCCATTCACCATTGCAACCAAAAGAATAAAATATCTGAGGATAAACCTACCTAAGGAAACATAGAACTGTATATGGAAAATTATAAGACACTGATGAAATAAATCAAAGACAACATAAACAGATAGAGAGATGGTCCATGTTCCTAGGTAGGAAGAATCAATATTGTGAAAATGACAATACTACCAAACACAATCTACAGATTCAGTGTGATCCCTATCAAATTACTAATGGCATTTTTTCACAGAACTAGAGCCAAAAATTTCACAATTCATATGGAAACACAAGACCCTAAATAGCCAAAGCAGTCTTGAGAAAGAGGAATGGAGCTCGAGGAATCAACCTTGCTGACTTCAGATTATACTACAAAGCTACAGTCATCAAGACAGTTTGGTACTGGCACAAAACAGAAATAGAGACCAATGGAACAAGCTAGACCAGAGGTAAACCCACACACCTATGGGTACCTCATTTTTTTATAAAGGAAGCAAGAATATACAACGGGGCGAAGATAGCCTCTTCAGTAAGTGGTGCTGGGAAAATTGGACAGCTACTTGTAAAAGAATGAAATTAGAACACTTCCTAATGCCATACACAAAGATAAGCTCAAAGTGGATCAAAGACCTAAATGTAAGACCAGAAGCTATAAAACGCTTAGAAGAAAACATAGGCAGAACACTCATTGCCATAAATCAAAGCAAGATCTTCTATGACCCACCTCCTAGAGTAATGGAAATAAAAACAAAAATAAACAAGTGGGACTAAATTAAACTTAGAAACATTTGCACACCAAATGAAACTACAAACAAGGTGAAAAGACAGCCCTCAGAGTGGGAGAAAGTAATAGCAAAGGAAACAACTGACAAAGGATTAATTTCCAAAATATACAAGCAGCTCATACAACTCAATACCAGAAAAACAAACAATCCAGTCAGAAAGTGGGAAAAAGACCTAAATAGACATTTCTCCAAAGAAGACATAAAGATGGGTAACACATGAAAGGATGCTCAATATCGCTCATTATTAGAGAAATGCAAATCAAAACTACAGCGAGATACCACCTCACATCAGTCAAAATGGCCATCATCAAATAGTCTACAAACAATAAATGGCTGGAGAGGGCATGAAGAAAGGGAACCCTCTTGCATTGCTGGTAGGAATGTAAATTAATACAGCCACTATGGAAGACAGTATGAAGATTCCTTAAAAAACTAGAAATAAAACCACCATATGACCCAGCAATCCCACTTCTAGACATATACCCTGAAGAAACCAAGATTGAAAAAGACACATGTACCCCATTGTTCATTGCAGCCCTATTTACAATAGCTAGAGTATGGAAGCAACCTATGGAAGCAACCTAGATATCCATTGACAGATGAATGAATCAAGAAGCTATGGTACATATATACAGTGGAGTACTACTCAGCTGTAAAAAGGAATGCATTTGAGTCAGTTCTAATGAGGTGGACGAACCTAGAGCCTATTATACAGAGCGATGTAAGTCAGAAAGAGAAATATAAATATCATATACTTATGCATATATATGGATTCTAGAAAGATGGCACTAATGAATTAATTTTAAGGGCAGCAATGGAGAAACAGCCATAGAGAACAGACCTATGGACATGGGGGGAGGGGAGGAGGGAGAGGGTGAGATGTATGGAGAGAGTAACATGGAAATTTACAATACCATACATAAAATAGATAGCTAATAGGAATTTGCTACATGACTCAGGGAACTCAAACAAGGGCTCTGTGACAATCTAGAAGGGTAGGATGGGGAGGGGAATGGGAGGGAGGTTCGGGAAGAAGGGGACATGGGTGTACCTCTGGTTGATTATTGTTGATGTTTGACATAAAACAACAAAATTCTGTAAAGCAATTATCCTTCAGTTAAATAAAGTGACAAAAACTAAAAAGATCATATAATCTGCAGTCCCCCTCAAAAAAATCTGCAGTTTGTTCAAATATCACTAAGGTACCCTTAAATAAATGTATATTAAAACTAAAGCATTTATTCAAACAGCCAGTTTTCTGCACTTAGCAAATTCCATGCCTCTGTATGTGTGTTATAGTCCCTTAAAACCAACGGGATCCCATTATTTCAATGGTGGTTCCTTCCTCTCCCCGCCTCCCCCGCCCCCCGGAAATGAAGGGATCTTGGGCAAGCGGAGTGAGAAGTTCTACGAGTGCTGCAAAGAACCCTACCCAGACGTGACCTTCACAGTCACCATCCGCCGCAGGACTCTCTACTATGGCCTCAACCTGCTCATCCCCTGTGTGCTCATCTCTGCCCTGGCCCTCCTCGTCTTCTTACTCCCTGCAGACTCTGGGGAGAAAATCTCCCTGGGTGAGTACTGGGTCTGAGCTGGGATGGGAGGGGCCTGCTTTGAGGGTGGCAGTCAGGGGCCCAGTGCAGAGATACCCAGGGTCTGCTCAGTACATCCCAGCCCAGGGTGACTCCCTGACACCACACCAGCCCCCTGTGTAGGGTGGCCCGGCCCTCCTGAGATTCCACAAGCTCCTCTGATCCTGCAGAGAGGATGGGGATGCCAAGAGAAGGACCAGTTCTTCCCTGAGTGGCCTGTGCCTTTCCCCTCTTGACACCCCTGCCCACCCCTTGGTGGCAGCCAGCTGGAATATGTTGTGGACAGAACACAGTTTAGTTTAATATAGTATCAGCTTGTATTTCTATATTGCCACACACAGTGTAATTCCTTACCATCCTCCAATAGGAAGATAAGAAAACTGTGATTTAGATTGGTGAAATAAGTTCCTCAATATCTCAAAGAGTTACTAAAGATTCTGTTTGATACACATATAAATCATTCTCAAACCCATAACTTCTGACTACCAGTGTCTGACTACTGTAGTCGACTTTCTGACTACAAAGCTCAACCAAAAAGTGAAGTTATGTTTTATTTGGTGGACTTTCTAAGGACTTCAGGCTTGGGGTGTAACATCCCAGATAGCTCTGAGGGACTGCTCCAAAGAGGTAAGGAAGAAACTAGGATATATATATATATAGGAGTTTTTACCACAGATGGAGTAGTCAAAATATCAAAAGATTGCTATTTAAAAACCTGACTTCTCAAGTTAATAAATTTAGTGTTTTTCTATGCTTGGGAAGATGCAGAGAGTCTGGGTTCACTGAAATCATTCCTGTGATGTATACTTCAGCTCTCCGAGGCCAGTATCCTGTGTTTTCTCATCCTGAATGCCCTCAGAGGGCACCATCTGGGAGTCTGCAATGTGATGGCTTGATGGCTGCAACATCTATTGTTTATTGATACAGCAGGTGATATTTTTATTCATAGGGCTCAGCTTGGGCACATAAATGACTTATCCAAGGTCGCACAGCTAGTAAGTAGCAAAGTCAAGACCAGAAGCCATGTCTTTCAACTGTATCTCTTGGTTTTCCTGCTGCTTGGAAATTACCTCTAGATACTAATGTATTAATAATAAAAGGAGAGATATGTGTGCTGAAGTCAATGATTTATTTTGAGTTGTTCTAAGTTCTGGCTTCCCAGTTTGTCTCCCCAGGGATTTCTCTGGAATTCTGGTAAATGACTCAAACAGTCCTCAGAAAAATGCCCATTCCTGTGAATATAGAAAACCAGGATTCCATTTGGTGTTGGGAATGTTACAGCTACCACCCTCATACCTCCTTTGAATCTCAGGTTGCCTGGAGTTCAGGCCTTACATTCTTTTCTGTCTCAGGGATCAGTGTATGTCTCTGTTTCAGGGATCACAGTTTTACTCTCCCTCACCGTCTTCATGCTGCTGGTAGCTGAGATCATGCCTGCGACCTCTGATTCAGTGCCCTTAATAGGTAAGCAAGCATCCGGCTCCTCTAAAGACCTGGGCTTAGACAGTGCCTGGGATTTCCCAGCATAGGCAAAGAGCAGAAACGTGTCCTCCAGGACCCTGGAGAGCTGCACACCACCTCTTTCTGCTGTGAAGGGATGACTTGCTTTAATTACTCAGAGTTGACTCATGGCCTCTGCTTACCTGGGCACACAGAAGGAGACAGGGAGTCCAGCTTTGTGATTTGGCCTTAAGATGCAGAAATGCCCCCTTTCCTCCCACAATGCACCTCTCCACACACTTGTTATGGAGCCAGAGATTTTTACCATCAGAGATTCATTATTTTAGTTTGAGTCACTGTTTTTCCACAAATTCATTGTCACACTTTAACTCTTAGCTGTTGTTTCCCGAGATACCTTGACATCTCTGTAGAAAGTTAAAGCTTGTGAGAGAAGGTGAACAGGACAAATATATTTTGGCCACATGTTGGGCTACACCCCACAGGCCTGCCAACCCTGTACTTGCCCAGACTTTAGGCAGAAGAAAGAGCCCAGAGACACCAATGGTTTTATAGATGGGAGATCTTACACGTCTGAAGCAAAAGGGTCATGGAGTGACACCCCACCAGTTACCTAAGGGAATTGAAGTCAGATTGGCCTATTGGTTACCAGGGAAACCAGCAAAGGGGCACAGCCCTCTTAGCCCCTTGGGCTGAGTACCTTCAAGGTGCAGAGGTCTTCCATTTGTTAAATTATGAATCAGGAGCCATTCTCATCTAAAGATTTAAACAGTCACTAACTGGCTGTCGGGGAAAAGCCTGTAGGTATTTACTGATTAGCTCTGTGATTAGGGAGACAGTCAGTCATGTGAGTGTGATGTAGGTTAAGCAGGGACTGGTCCAGCAAAGGGGATAGAGAGAGAAAACAAACCACACACAAAGGCAGGTGTATGATCTGCCCAGGGAGAGAGAACAAACACAGGAGGCAGCATCACCTGTTGCTATGCACCTCGCTGGACTGGACTGAACTGGAATAAGCAGGAACATGCAGAGCAGGGGTGCTCGGTGGCCCAGAGGTTAGGACCCAATACCCTGGCTATTGCAGTCAAGGTTCAGTTCCTGGTCAGGGAACCAGACCTCCAAGCCAGTTGTGAGGACAGGAAGCAAACATTCTGCCAGTAGATATTAGGTTTGATGAGAGTCCCCTCTCCCACTATCAAGTGGAGGTCAGAAAGAGGAAAGCAGTTTATACACTGTCAGTCCTGTGTGGTTAACCAGGGATAAGTAGGAATAGGGGTCCTTTACATTGATACCCTCAGGCTTCACTTCACAAATCCAGAAGCCAAGGCCCTTCTTATTGGAGCTTCCTGGATCCGTAATATTTGACCAGAGAGCCTATAGGTATAAAGAGCCTCTGTGGGTGTCATGTTTTTCCCAGAACCATTCCAGAAGCAAGGATACTTCAACCTGACATTCTGACCCTGTCCTTCCACTTTTAGTAGAGACCTGCAGCAGAAACCACCCTAAACCAGGCAGTCAGCAGGCCCTGATGTCTGATGAACCCACAGGCTCGGCAGGTGCCTAGCCCACATCTAGAAGAATGGAATGGCCTCCTGGAAGGCCTTCTAGAAGGACAGCTGTTGGCCTTAGACCTCTGTTGTCGAGATTTCAGCTGTGGGATCCAGTCACCCTGGATCGCTGTAGATCACTGTATGAGTCTGCTAAGGCTGCCACAATAAAAGCCCACAGACTGGGTGGCTTACACAGGAGAAATTGATTTGTTCCCGGTTTTGGAGGCTGTGAGTCCAAGATTAAAGGGCCAGCAGGGTTGGTTTCTGCTGAGGTCTCCCTCCTCGTCTTGCAGACAGGTACCCTCTGCTGTTCCCCGACATGGTCTTTCCTCTGTGTCTTCACATCTCTGTGCCCCTTTGAGTACCCAAATTTCCCCTTTTTATAAGGACACCAGCCAGATTGGACCAGGTACCACACTAACAATCTCACTTTAATTAATCTCCTCTTTGAAGGCCTTCTCTTCAAACACAGTCACATTCTAAGGTACTTGTCATTTAGAACTTCAACATACAAATTTTAGGGGAACACAGTATGCAGCCCATAACAGTCATGGTTTGGTCCCCTTCCCTCCCCTTCCCAGAGGTCCCTGATGCTGATGTCAAGTCTCAAATGTCCTCCTCCAGTAGCTCCTTGTATGTTCCTCTTGGTCTCCATGGGAAAGCAGTGAGTTCCTGCCTGCCTGGAGAGTAGGAGGTATTTTTAACCAAGTGTAGGGCCACATACTTAGCCTTGTACAAGGATGTCTGTTTAAGATCTCAGCCCCTTGGTGGGTAGCCACAATGAAGGTTTATCTATTTATTTGCATTTATGTTAGGATAATTTATTATTTTGCTTGTTTAAGGAAGCATTGATCATACATATTTTTGTTTCATTATTTTTAATACTCTTTTTGCACTTGAATCCATGCTTGTAATCCCTTTTTAGTTTTTGAAGTATAATTGATTTACAGTATCTTGTTGGTTTGAGGCATACAGCACCGTGGTTCAGTGTTATATATATATGTGTGTGTGTGTGTGTGTGTGTGTGTGTGTGTGTGTGTATTCTTTTATATATATATTTTCAGATTATTTTCCCTTATAGGTTATTACAAAATGTTGAGTAGAGTTCCCTGTACTATACAGTAGGTCCTTATTGGTTATCTGTTTTACATATAGTAGTGTATATGTTAATCTCAACCTCCTAATTTATCCCTCCTCCACACTGAAGGTTTAATAATCATAGTTGACAGTTAAATAATGCCCACCTATGCCAACTTTTTCCTATACCCTTGGCCCATAAAATTGTTAATCTCTGCACCAACCCTGCAGAGAAGGCATTTCTGTCCCTGTTACACAGTAAAGAAACTTAGGCCCAGAGAGGCTATGTGGCCATCTAGGCTCACAGATGATAACCAGTGTACCAGGAGGGAGCTCCATGCTGCTTCTCACCTGGGCCGAGGTAGAGAAACGCATCTTTACCCATCAAAGCTGAAGCTGATGTTCTCAGCCTGAAAGGACACTGCGGCTGACCTCTTCTTCAGACTGGCCAGCTGTCAGTCCCCACCCCCATGGCTCTGGGTTGATGGAGCCAGAGCCTACAGTAAGCAGAGCATTCTCCAGGCCTGAAAAGACAGCTCGGTGGCACCCAGATCTGCCCTTGCTAGACGTCTGCAGCCTGCCCATGGCCTGCAGTCATAACTGTCATGACCACCTCCTCTGTGTCCCAGTGGTTTCAGTTCTAACAATGATGCTTCCTTATCAGACAACCTTATCACCGTCCTGTGAGGTGCACTTAACTTTCACCAAAAGAAGCAGTCAGGGTTCCCAAAAGTTCAGTCAGCTGGTGAGGCTGCTCACCAAGACTGGAGGAGGTAGGTCTGTATGCTGCAGGCTGGCCTCTCTGGGCTGTGGGCTGCAGGCCTGGAAGAGGTCACGCTCTGCTCTTGGGCCTCACTCCCCAGCCCCTGGTGGTCAGGACGCCACCGTCTGGGTTCCCCGCACTGTGCTGTGGTAACACCCCTGCATCTGCGCTCTCTGCAGCCCAGTACTTCGCCAGCACCATGATCATCGTGGGCCTCTCTGTGGTTGTCACAGTGATCGTGCTACAGTACCACCACCACGACCCTGATGGTGGCAAGATGCCCAAGTGGGTGAGTTCCTCCCCAGCAACTCCACCAGAAGAGAGGTCAGGGTGCATTCCCCAGAGGGGGCTCCGAGGGTGACTTATCTATTTTAAAAAATCCTCAAAAAAACTTGGATTGCGAAACAAAAAGCTGCAGTTCCTCACATGTCTGCATATCTCTGCATCCAGGGGAGTCGGGTGAGTGCTGTCAGAGTCCCTCAGGGCTGTCCTTACAACCTGACGTCTCAGAAATGGGCTTAGGCCACCACTTTGCACATTTTACTGAACAGTGTTTCTAAACTTTCTTTCTGCACATACAGCGTTAGAAGTAACACAGAAGATGAACACACAGCTGTGGTTAGAGCTTCAAAACAGAATGAGGAGTGAAAAGAGTAAGAAAGAGAGTGAGCAGTGTACATATATACATTCAGTTGTCTACAAAATAATCAATTAACAATAAGAAGAATAGAAAGGAATTTTATTTGAGTCAAACTGAGGGCTAGCCTGGAAACCAGCTTCCCAGATGACTGAGAAACTACTCTGGAGAAGCAAGGTTTTCAGCACAGTTTTATATCTTGTCAGAACAAAGAACGTTAAACAAGCCGAGGTTACAGTTCTTCAAGGTAAAAAAAAAACAGATCAGCTTGTACACATTGATTCAGCATGGCCTTGGTGCCTGAGAAGGGAGTCTTATCATCAGAGGACTAGCACTGACATCCCAGGAAGAGAGGTGTTTAATCTTTTATTTTTATCATGGACATACTTTACTTTGGGTCAGTGTGCCCTTTCCTTTAATAATTAAAGCAGATATACAATGTATGTTTGATAGGCCGTAGGCTATTTTAGTTAGCATAAAATTCAGGTTAACTCATGCATAAGCCAGAATGACTTCCCTATATCTCAAGATATGAAACTTTCTTTTATCACAAGACACATAGGAAAGTCATTTAACCAAAAGTCTATAAAATAAAGGTTAACAGTGGTGAAGGGGGATGTGATGAAAGGAAATGGATGGAAAATAAACATTTGTCATTGTAGCCCAGGTCAGGCCACATGGTCCCACGTTTCCCAGCACTGATGCCTTGTGATGTGTGCTGATGTTTCCCCCAAGCCACAGCTGTGCTCCATGGAAGTCCAGTGTCCTAAACACTATACCCACTCTTGCTTAACACTTGGCAAACCTTGGTTGGAGGCTGAGCAGGGCCTGGACTTTTCCCACCTCATGTGATGATGTGTCCAAAGCCCCAGCCAGAGCAGAGCTGTCCCCCAACCCCTCACCCCACTTGTTTCTGGGGCCCCACATACCTTCCAGTCTTCCCATCCAGAGAGCAAGGCTTAGGGACCACTGGGAGCTAAAGAAGCCCTCTCATGCCAAAACAACCTTGTCTTTGCTGACCCATAATCTTGAGTCCAAATTCAGAGTCAGTTTAGAACTGAATGCAGCTGCAAGATGTAAAATGCATTTCCTTAATCTCCAGGAGCAGGGAGTTCCTGGGCCTTCTAAAAGTATCCATTGCACAATAATTTACAGTTACACAAAAGTTAACTTAAGAAAGACCTTTTTTTTTTTTCTTTTTTAAAGAAATTGGCTTCACAGAATGACTGCCCTTGAATTCTTTTCCACAGCAAGTCCTTATACTTGATAACTCTCTCATGGTATCAGCAATGGACTCCCCAAAATGGTACAACCTCTCACACAGGTCATATCACCACAGTCTGCAGGCTTGTTTTGAGAAGTTCCACTCCCTACCCCTCAAAATATGAAAAAAAAAAAAAAAAAAAAGCTGACACATATTTGTGTATATTCATCTACATTCTCTTCTGACTTAGATCTTTGAAAGACTTTCTTGTCTATATCCACCCATCTGTTTGAAATAAGATTTACAAGTATCAGAAGTCAAAATCAAAGAATTATAAATAAGAAAATTCTGCTCCCATTCCTACCCCTACTACCACCACCAATTGATAACCATTTCAATTAATTTCTTTTTCCTTCCAGTGTTTATGCAGATGCCAAAATATAAACACATATTCTTATTTTTTCTGTTTTGACTGTTGTACAGAGAAGGAAATTAAGGCAGTGAGTTATAAAACCATTTTTAATGACCTGGTAGCATTTTACTGTTCCAGAGAAATCTGAACTAGAGTATATGTTGGTTATTCACCTCTCAGCACGAGAACATGTTAAAGCAATGGTGCAAAGCAAATATGAAATGTGTATTTCTCTTTCATTTTATATAACACACTGCATTTTTTTACTTTCTTTCTATGTGTTTTTGAAACATAAACAACCTCCAAGGGGCTTTCATTATAATCTGTTGCCATGAAGAAAACACTGCTAGTGCGGTGGCATTATGTGACATTTGCACAGCCAGAAACAAAACCATAACCTAACAGAAGAGGTCACAAGCACAGACTGAGAAGTGCCAAAAAGATAATCTCATCTTCTGAGATGCTTTAGCCTTGAAAGCTAATGATTCAAGCCATAAAATTCAAAATAGTTTAGCTTGAGCTGTGCCCCAGGGGATGCGCAGACCCCCACGTGTGTGGCAGGCAAAGCCCTGGATCTGAGGCTCAGCTCTGCCTGCACCGCTGAGTCTGGGTTTGGGCACATTCATGACCCCATGTGCTTCCTTGAGTTCTGGCTCTGGCTTTCTGGTACCTTCCCAGTGGGGGTTGGGCTAAAGTCACCAGGGTTTGCAGAGAACCCAACAGACAGACCTTTTTATGGATGAGTCTGTGGAAGTCAGAACACATAAGGTGACTCAGGCTCACTGACCTTGAGCCAGTTTATTCATCTCTTTGAGCCTAAGATTCTTTTTTTTAAATTTATTTTATTCAAGTATAGTTGATTTACAGTGCTGTGTTAGTTTCTGGTGTAAAGTGATTTATATATTTACATACATACATACACACACAGTGCATATATATGTGTGTGTATATCAGCCATAAATGCAAAGGATTTGGGCTGATTTTGCACTCTATCAGCAGAGCTAAAATATTTACCATCTGGCCCTTTAAAGAAAGTCTGCCAACCCCAGCTTCAGACTTTCCACAGCACTTTGTCTTGTATCATCTCATTCAGTCTTCACTGCAGCCTAATGGATTAGGTTAGAGGTTCCTAAGCTGCCATGGTTCACAGCACCTTTCATGAGTCAGGGTTCTGTTTTTTTCCAGAGAGCATCTAAGACAGAAGGAATACTTAATGGTTCTATAAATAAAACAGGTCAAAACAACTTACTAAGTACTTATGCCCTGACAGCTTAGCACCTGTCGGCACAGCAAACCTCACACCTTGGAGCATGCTCCCCTGCTCGTCTGTTCCACAATGACTTTCTTGGCACTTGCTTTTTATCAGGACAAGTTCCAAAATCTGCTTTGCAAGGGTAGGATATCATGCAAGGAATGCAGTGATCTAATGTAACAGTCTGGACTGCTTCAGGCTAGGGATGCACACGGTGTCTCAAGTGTCACAGGGTTGCCCCTTAAAACTTAACATCTCCAGGGGAGCCTTTATGAATTTGCTGCTGCACACTGGGGTGCCTCATACAGAGCTGAAGATGACGATCCCTAGTTCCAGATGTAAAATGCTCTGTTCCCCAGCTCAGGGCTCCCTTTAGAAGACAACCCTCTTCACCCACACAGGCTGTCTTCCCTGAGATGGCACTGTACCCATAGCTGCTTCCCAGGGTGATTTTCTGCGTTGCTTTATCATCACCTCGCAATTGATTGAACCATCATACCCCGTTGGCACTGCTTTCCTGTATAAACTCGCCTGGGAAGGTGTGGCAACCTGTCACCCCTAGGGTCCACCCCACGAAGGCTAGCAGGTATTACAGTTGTGTCCCCCTTGCTGTCAGGATCAGCCGTGGGCTCTGCCCAGCACCTCTAAGACTGTGCTGTCTCCGCAGACCAGAGTCATCCTCCTGAACTGGTGTGCCTGGTTCCTTCGCATGAAGAGGCCGGGGGAGGACAAGGTGCGGCCAGCCTGCCAGCACAAGCAGCGCCGCTGCAGCCTGGCCAGCGTGGAGATGAGCGCAGTGGCGGGACCACCAGCCACCAATGGCAACCTGCTGTACATTGGCTTCCGCGGTCTGGACAGCATGCACTGCGCACCCACCCCTGACTCAGGGGTCGTGTGCGGCCGCGTGGCCTGCTCCCCCACTCATGACGAGCACCTGCTGCATGGCGGCCAGCCCTCTGAGGGGGACCCGGATCTGGCCAAGATCCTGGAGGAGGTACGCTACATCGCCCACCGCTTCCGCTGCCAGGATGAGAGTGAGGCGGTGTGCAGTGAGTGGAAGTTCGCGGCCTGTGTGGTGGACCGCCTGTGTCTCATGGCCTTCTCTGTCTTCACCATCCTCTGCACCATCGGCATCCTGATGTCGGCACCCAACTTCGTTGAAGCTGTGTCCAAAGACTTCGCTTGACCCAGCCCTGGCTCCCAGCGTGTAGGACATACACAGATACATGATGATGATGGCTTAAAGAGAACTTGGGATGGCTGATGCCACAGCAGCATTAAACCCCAAAAGACACATATGTACCCCATCGCTGTCATGTCAGTTTCAGTTTCCTTGTTACTTTCAGTAATGGGATCTCAGCACATTTCAGTTTACCCCTCTTTAGTGGGCCACTTGATATCCTTGGAGCCGTCCTTATGGTCAGCAGGACCCCCGAGGATAGTTTTGTCCATCCCACATTGCCTGGTGAGCTCTTCAGAGGTTGGGGTAGCTCAGGACTGACAGCCAGGGGAGGCCTGGACAGCGGGTTTGCATGCCTGCATGTCACTTGCCATGAGGGCCTACATGAAAATTCATACCTGCTTTTGCCTGTGTACGAACCTAGATTGAAGTTAATCACAATAAACCACACTCAGTAAACCCATCAGATGATTGATGAAACAAACTAAACTAAAATGTAAAACCCAACTACTCGTTTTTCTTCAATTCAGACTTTAATTCTCTACCAAAGACAGTTGACAAACACCTCTATGTTATGTCTGCATTTTTAAAAAGAGACAGTAATATTTGATCTTGTAAATTACGCTTTGGCCAGCCTGATTTTTGCCAACTTACCATCTTGGGAATCAGGATGGACACAGGTGTGTGTTGATTCTAAACTGGGACCAGACTCAGTCAGGGGGATTTCTGTAGATCCCAAATATTCTCAAGCTTCCTTTGCTGCCCCTAGGCACCAGGTGGTTGAGTGAATCTGTTCTATTCTCCAAAACCCAGAGGACAAGTAGAATTCTATTAGAATTACCACCCAATGTAATAATAGCTGATGCTAAATTAAACCATCTATTTTTTTAACAGTGTATTAAATGTTTCACGTATATTGGAGTTGGTTAGCCTTATAAAATTTGTGGATCCAAACAAATGCACAACATAAAGTCACCAGAGTATTCCATGCATTTTCTCCTTGTGTCAGGTCTAAAAGGCAGGGACTTGGGCCTTTTTTGGCTCTCTGTGTTGCAGGAACTGGGGAAGGAGTGGTGTGGCTGATGGCTTTCGTGAATGGCAGGCAAGTGGTGGTTAGCAGGAGAGGCTGATAGACTAGCAGTGGCTGCATACCCATTAACTCCGGTTCTGGTTTGGCAGGGCTCAGCTTATGCACCCCGGCTTCAGCCCAGAGAGCTGGCTGAATGAGCAGATTCACTGTAAGCTTGTGTTTTGAAAACAAGGGGGCTTTCTTTTAAATCCAAGTGGTGACGCAGTTCTCTACTTAGATTTTCTACCTGACAATCGTCACTTTGCTTCTCCCATCGTTACTGTTGAATGTGATCAGAGGAAGACACAGGACAAGACAGCCTGTCCTGTTCTGTCATTTCATTTAGTAAACTCACAGAGCTCAAAACTGCCGAAAATGTCTGAGCTCCTGGGGATCTTTAATTTGCTTCTAACCTCCGAAATGGCTATGTTATGAGGGAAGATTTGATTTTTTCAAGCAAAAGAAATTGCATGCCCTTCTCCAGCCATTTAGCTCACTCACTTCTGGCCGGATTTGTGTGCACTGAGGAAGAGGGAGGTGCATGCCTGCTCTCTGTGTCTATGTGTGTGATAACATGTGCATGTGAGAAACTTCAGAAAAGGTACCTGGTTTACAGTAAGAAAGTTTATAAATAAGGGCATTCCAGCATTATGCCATTTGGAGCAGGGTTGTCCTCAGAGTGCACTCATTCTATATGGAGTGGATGAAAAATGCACATTTTTTTTCTATTAAAGTGTCTTTAGAAACAACTAGAAGTGTTTTGATATATAAAGAGTGTACTTCATTTCTTATTGCTATTCCAAGTTGAGCCCTACTACATTTTGCTTTAATTAAAAAACCTTTTTAGTTTTGTATTTTATACAGAAAAACATAAAAAGGCTAACAGAGTTTGGATTTTGACCATGCAAATAACTACTCCGTGATTTAAAAAGTAGTAATAAGAAAAGATGCACATGTAGAAAGACAAGTATGAAGGGCTGAAAATAAGTGCCCCCCCCACCACCCCTGCCTTATCTCCTCATAGGGGACCACCAGTGAGCTTCTGGGGAGGGATGGGCATTTCCAGAAAGGAACGAAAGGAGAGAGACTGAGGAGGGAGAAAGGGGACGTGGAGAGAGAACCTCCTTTTCTGTCCATTTCTAGAACCTGTGCTGTGCACAGCACCCTGCCCTTTGCTTTTTTCATTTGATGTTAAGAGATCTTTCCATAACAACACATAAGGATCTACCTCATTCTTAATAGCTGCTTAACCTTCCATTGTCCCTGTGCACTATTAATTTCTTTGATTAGTCTTTTATTAGTGAACCTATAGAATATTTCCTGTCTTTATTTTTATACACAGATCTAGAATTAGCATCCTTGTACTTATGTCATACTTTTGTGACTGTATCTTGATATCGATTGGAACTTGAAAATGGAGTTGCTGAATTTAAGATTATGTCTATTTAACACTTTTGTCAATTATTGTCAGATGATTCTTCAAAAATTGATCTTTGGTTACACTTATCAAGAGTATAATGAAATGATCAATTTCTCAGTTTTCTCAAACAGCTTTTATTCCAGTCTAGTGAAGAATAATATTACAATATTATTCTGACTTAGTTCACTTTATTAGGAGTGAAGCTGAACATCTTTTCAAATGTTTTCTGGTCACTTTTTGGTAAATTTATGTCCTTACACAGTTTTGGCTTTTTCCTAGTTAATTTGGACATATATTTTGAAATTTTTCTGTCTCATGTCTTGAAAATATTTTTGTCTTTTGAGGTTCTCTATTGGTTTTCTTATTTATTGTCACATACATAAAATTTAAAGTTTTATGTTGTCAATTTATCCTTATTTTCCATTTTAGATCCTGGAATTTATTTCCAGTTCTAAAAGACCTTTCCCATTCTGAGATTATAAAGAAATTTACTCATATTTTCTTCTAAATCCTTATGGCTTGATCTGTTTATCTTTACCTACTCTTAACTCCCAGGAATTCATTTATTGCAGGAAATGAAGATAAAGATGTGATTTTTTTTTTCCCCTCTAAATGGTTAGTAAGTTGTGCTAGCAAAATATATAACAGTGCATTCTGGTATAAAATTATATAGTTTTTTCCTCCTTTGTTCAAATGCCACCTTATTTGTAAACTAAATTCCTCAAAGTGTTTGAATCTACTTCTGTTTTATTGATTTATCTCCCTATGAATTCCTTTAATTTCTGAGGCTTCATTCCTATTAATATAAAATATTCATATTAATATAAATATTTTCAGGTCAAGGCTCCTCGTAATACTTGCCTCTCTCTTTCCCTTTAACTCTCTTTCTCATACACACACACATAACTTTCTTAACAAATGGGGCCACAGTGAATTTATAGATTAATTGTTTTCCTATCCAAGAATGCTGCCATCCAACTTATATTCAAATCTCATGTCACTCATAGAGTCTATGGTTTTGTTCAGATAGATCCTATGAATTTGTTATTGTCTATTTCTAGATATTTTATCATTTGGCTACCATTTTCAATGGAATAATTTTTTATATTTTGTATTCTCACCAGATATATAGGATAGTAGTTGATTTTGTATATCAGTGTTATAATCAAATACCCTAATTGTAATTTCTTACTGTTTCTAAGGTTTTCTTTTGCCTCCCCCTTTCCACCAATTTCCCTTATTTCTTTCTCTTAGCCAGCTGCATTGAGAACAGTATTAAAGAATAGTGATTCAGGCAGCATACCTGTCTTATTCCTGACGTCAATAGAATGGTTTAATGTCCCACCATTTAACTTGAATGAAGGCATGTATTTTCCTTATAATAAACAGTATCTGTGTATTCTCAAAGTGTTAAGGCTTTCTGGGGCAAATATAGATGCTGGGTTGTTTTTTTTTTTTTTCTCACAACCTTCTCAGTATCCATGGAGATGATTAGAAGGGTTTCCCTTTGCTCTTGTAGGACATGGTATTTTATTGCTTTATTTTATTTTATTGCTTCAGACCAATCTACTACTATGTTCCTGAGACAATCTCTACTTATGGTTTTTGCTATCAATTTCATATAGAAGATGAATCATTCTGCAGCTTGTTCTTGTGTGCAAAACAAAAAGAAACCAAAGATTGCTGTATATTCTGCAATCATTTACTGGGTTTTAGAATCATCTACTTAAGTGTCAAATGTCTCACCAGAGTGGGGAGCTGTCTACGCATACGCTGGAGTGCTTCTGCATTTCTCCCACTGGGCATGTTAGGTCCTGGGGCATTTCTGAAGTCAATTTTGGAACATATTTTTTTTTTTTTAGAAAATTAATTTTACTCCATTTTCAGTATATCTACATAGTTTTACAATATGGGAACTTAGGATTTAAATTTTATGTTCATGATAATGTCTCCATTTTTCATTTCTAAGTATGTACAATCCTTTTGTTTTCACTGATTTGGCTCACTAAGGGTTTTATTTTTCTATATTTTCAGACACTGAAACCTTAGACTTATTCATTAGTTTGGATACCTGACCTGATTTTATCCCCTGTTGCCCCCTGGCTTACCTGACCTTTCCTGGGACAGCAGACAGTGCAGGTGGGAGTCACATCAAGGCTCTGGGGCCAGGACTGAAGCTTCATTTGACAGCAAGAGCCAGAAGGTCAAACCAGGCCAGGCAGTGGGGATGTGTGCGATGCGACTGGTCATGTCACCACTGTGACCACAGTCAGTTGGAGAACAAACCCACCAAAGCTTTGACCACAAGCTTTCTTGAAGCTCTGACTCCCGGAAGTAATCCTTTTCTCAGATAATAAATTCTGTTCCCTCATTGCTTCATTCTTTCTGGCCCAATCCTTCCTAGACCTGACCTCACTGCTCCTGGCTCCTTTTTAAACTATCACTTACTTATTTTGAGTGTGGGTTTGACTTTTTAATATTGAAGCTTATCGTGTGATGGGGAGAGGAGTCTGCAGTCGGGCTTTATGAACTCTTGTGGTCGAATTTTGCTGTGTCTGTAGCGCATCTCACTTTGGGAATCACAGGAATGCAAAACATTCTCTCATTCTGCCCAGTTCTTCACCCTTTCTAATCTGTTTCTCCAGTCTCTCACTTACATTCTTTCCTAATTTTTTTTCCTGCTGAAACATTATTGTCAACCTCTTCTTTGCTGTGCTAGATTTCTGTAGATCTTCCTTCTGATAAATACTACCCATCAACAAATTTGCTGTTGTATTTTGAAATTCTTAAATATCTGCTTTGGCTTTTATTTCAGTTCTCCTCTACTCTTATTTTTGTATTTTTATATTAAGGCATTATTTTTTAAAGCAGATCATAGAACCACAGAAAAAATGAGGAAGGTACAGAGATTTCCCATGCCCCCCACATGCCTAACCTCCTGTATGATGAAGACTTGTTAAACTGACACATGGTTAACACCCAAAGTCCATAGTTTACAGGAGGGTTCACTCTTGGTGCTGTGCATTCTGTGAGTTTGGACAAATGTATAAAAACATGTGCCCACCATTATAGTATCATTCAGAGTAGTTTCACTGCCCTAAAAATCCTCTATATTCCCATCTACTCATTCCCCACTCCCAGCCCTTGGCAATGATTGATCTTGTCTGCATAGTTTTGCCTTTTCTCGAATGTCATATAGTTGAAATCACACAGTATGTAGCCTTTTCAGATTGGCTTCTTTCACTTAATATGTATTTAAGGTTCCCCGGTGTCTTTTCATGGCTTGATAGCTCATTTTTTTAAGCACTGACAGTCCATTGTCTGTATCATTTATTTCATACCAATCCTTGCTCCTTTTCTAATTATCATTTACTTCATTTGCATGTGGATTTGATTTTTTAATATCAGAGCTTATATACCATAGTTTACCCATTTACCTACTGAAGGACTTGGTTGCTTCCAAGTTTTGGCAGTCATTAATAAAGATGCTATAAACAACCATATGCAGATTTTTGCCTGGAAATAAGTTTTCAGCTCCTTTTATAGAACTCCAGTAAATATCAAGTGGTGCGATTACTGGGTTGTACATTAAGAGGACATTTAGTTTTGAAAGAAATCATCTTCCAAAGTGGCCATACCATTTTGCATTCCCACTGGTAATGAAAGACAGTTCCTATTTCTTCTCTTCCTTGACAGTATTTGGTGGGTCCGTCTTCCAGATTTTGGCCATCTAATAGATATATATGGTATTGATATTGAACAGGGTTCTTGGTGTTCCCCCATCAATAGCAATTGACTAGAGGCCAGAAAAGAAATTCAGACAAGGCTCTATTGGGGTTCCTGAAGCAGCAGCAGGGAACAAGTACAAACCAGTTCTTACTTGCTTGCTCCCTGAGGAGGGAGGTGAGCTTGTTCTTCATATGCACTGAGGGTAGGAGTGTGTCCAAGGATCTGGCTGGAGGGGTGGCTTAGGTGCTTTGCCCACCCCTCTGGTGGTGTTGAGTGCTGGGGGCACGCTTGCTGCTGCTAAGTCACTTCAGTCGTGTCCGACTCTGTGCGACCCCATAGACGGCAGTCCATCAGGCTCCCCCGTCTCTGGGATTCTCCAGGCAAGAACACTGGAGTGGGTTGCCATTTCCTTCTCCGGGGGCATGCTTAGTACCCTGCTTTTTCTCCCAATACCCCGTTTTTGCTCCTGGCTCTTCAGAAGTGACAGTAGGGATTTTTTGGTCTTTTTGTATCTTTTTGTCCACAGTTTTCCCCACTGCACATGTGCACGGTTATTTTTAGTTCCATATAGTTTCCTTGTATTTTATTACTGGAGGAGAGGTTTGTCCAGGAGCAAGCATTGCAGCACTACAGCAAAGGGTCCCATGTCCCCACCTGTCTCAGTATCTCATTGTGGTTTTAGCTTTAATTTCCCTGATTGCATCTCTTCATATGCTTATTTGCCATCTTCTTTGATGAAGTGTTTGATAAAGTCCTTGGCCCATTTTAAATTTAGGTTATTTGCTTTCTCACTGTTGGGTTTTATAAGTTTTTTGTATTGAATATATATTGGATAGCAATCTTTTATCAAATATGTCTTTTTCAAATATTTTCTCCCCATCTGTGACTTGTCTTTTCAGTCTCTTGATATTGTCTTTCAAAGAGCAGAAGTTTTGCATTTAAATGAAGTCTAGTTTATTATTTATTTATTTTGTAGATCGTGCCTTTCCTGTTGTATCTAAAGTCATCTCCATACCCAAGGTCGTTTAGATTTTCTTTTGTCATCTCTCAGAAGTTATATAATTTTGTTTTAAAGCTAGGTCTGTGATTTTGAGTTAATTTTTTGAATAGTATATACTTATTCTGTGTCTAGATTTATTTTTTTTATATGTGGATGTTCAGTTGCTCCAGCATTATTTGTTGAAAAAAATTATTCATTCCCCATTGAATTGCTTTTGCTATTTATCAAGGGTCAGTTGACTATATTTATATGAGTCTATTTCTAGGCTCTTTATTCTCACATTTGGCTTCCATCTGGGTTCTCTATCCTGATCTATTTGTCTATTCTTTTGTTAATACCATGCTGTCTTGATTACTACATATTTAAAGTCAGTCCTCTATTAACTTGAAGTCAATCCTCTATTTTTTTTAAGCTATATCTATTTTTAATTGTGAAGTATAACATATGACTTACCATCTTTAAATATATTGTTTGGTGGCATTAATTCACATTTTTTGTAAAACCATCACCACCATCCATCTCCAGAACTCTTTTCATTTTGCAAAACTGATCTCTATGCATTAAACACTAATTCCCCATTTCCAATCCTCCCAACCCATCCCCCCAACCCTGGCAACCACGATTCTACTCTCTGTTTCTATAAATTTGATTATTCTTGGTACCTTACAGAAGTGGAATCATACAGGATTCGTCATTTTGTAATTGGCTAATTTCACTTTGCATAATGCCCTCAAGCTTCATTCAAGTTGGAGTCCCTCTTCTACTTTTATTGTTTATCTTATTGTTGTGTTGGTTCTAACATATTCAGCCAATACCTAGTTTGTTTATCTCTATTTATTCTGATTTAATCATATAAGTACTTTTGGCTCTAAAGTTTCTTCTCATCAAAGCTTTAACATTAACCTATATGGTAAAGAATCTGCTTGCAATGTGGGAGACTTGGGTTTGATCCCTCGATCAGGAAGATGCCCTGGAGAAGGGTGTGGCAACCCACTCCAGTATTCTTGCCTGGAGAATTCCATGGACAGAGAAGCCTGGTGGGCTACAGTCCATGGGGTTGCAAAGAGTTGGACACAACTGAGCGACTAACACACACACATATGTTTTGATATATAGCATTTTGATATATAACATTTTTATCTTTTGCTCTCATTTCATATGCAAGGTAATGCTCAAAATCCTTCAAGCTAGGCTTCAACAATACATAAACTAAGAACTTTCCGATGTACAAGCTGGATTTAGAAAAGGCAGGGGAACCAGAGATCAAATTACCAACATCCATTGGATCATAGAAAAAGGAAGAGAATTCCAGAAAAACATCTCCTTCATTGACCACACTAAAGCCTTTGACTCTATAGATCACAACAAACTGGAAAATTCTTAAAAAGATGGTAATTCCATACCACCTTACCAGCCTCCTGAGAAACCTGTATGAAGGTCAAGAAACAACAATTAGAACCAGACACAGAACAATGGACTGGTTCAAACTTGGGAAAGAAGTACATCAAGGCTGTATATTGTCACCCTGCTTATTCAACTTATATGCAGAGTACATCATGTGAAATGCCAGGCTGGATGAACCACAAGCTGGAATCAAGATTGCCAGGAGCAATATCAATAACCTCAGATATGCACATGACACCACCCTAATGGCAGAAAGCAAAGAGGAACTAAAGAG